GTGTGTGTGTGTGTGTGTGTGTGTGTGTGTGTGTGTGTGTGTGTGTGTGTGTGTATATATATATATATATATATATATATATATATATTCAACAGCTGACTGCTTTCACAATATACTGCAGACTACAAATTTTACATGTTGAAATCAAGTTGAAAGCATCCAACACTTGGTTTTTAGGATAATCTACATTTCCTTCCTCATTTGCACCTGGCATGTTTTCATTTTCATTTCTTTCTTTCTTTTCTGTTTTTCAAATCAGACTTTCGACAAAAATCAAATATTTACAACAAGATATTTTCATAACCAAACATATTAGCACACTAATATGCCCCTCATACAAACCTTCTTTCTCTCCACACCAAATCATTCCATTCAATTCCTTCACATCTGAAGTGCTGGACGAAACTTATCTCTGTCTGGTATGAAATAGTCAAAATTTGTGGCCATAACCTTTCTTATGTCGAGGTCGTGTTGTTTTATTCTGAATGTAATTTTGAACAACAGTTTGAAGTCATAATGAAAACACAGGAGATGACAAGTGTTGGAGTCAAAACACCAGTTGAGTTTTCTTTGCCGACGTTCAGTGTTCACTGCACTGGAGACATGATGCACGACACGGATCATACAACACAGATCATATGTGGCACAGGGGAAGGTCTGCCAGAGTTGGTGTACAATCTAATGTTAGGTCAGACTAAATAGAGAAGATGTTTTTAAAACTAGTGGAACCGACTTTATAATTTTGAAGAAATGAGAAAGATGAGCAGCACAGATCATATGTTGAAAGGGGGGGGGGGTGTCAGTCGACACTCATATACAATCCGATGTTAGACCAGACAAAACTGAGATGTTTAACAAGATTATAGTGCAATCAAGTTAAATTTTGAAGAAGTCGGTGTTTCTTTTTTTTTTTTTTTTTTTTTGCAAATGGATAAAAATGCTAGTTTGGCCAGTAGGAAAAATTCTCAGTTGACCCCCAAAAATAGTGTCACTATCGTCATGCTCTAAAATGCCAGACTGTGGGTTTCACCCCACCCCATTTAGTTGTTATGCTTGTTAAGCATCATGTTTTAAATGCAAAAACAAAAATAAATTTCACCTACCAACTCTGTTTATAGAGTCGCTGCTCATTAACCAACTTATATACTTTTTGCCTGGACTTGCCAGTCTCCAAAAACACCATTTTACCTTTTTAAACTAAATTTCCTTTTTACAAATTTTACTTACATCGGTACTACCTATTGTGGCTAATTACAATTTGATGTTGACTTTGCAGTTAAGCATAAAGTATTATTGCATCAGGATTGACAGTATCCTATATTTTTTTTTAATATATGTCAATCATGTTATGAATGACGTAGAGTTCTTGCAATATAAAAAAATCAAATGTGCCAGGAGTTTTATTAAAAATCTGATGGTGCTGGTTTTGGAGCTTGTTCTGCATTTTAATCACAACATGAACCATCAGGCCAAACACAAAGAAGTACAATTACTCTTAACAAAATAATACAATTGTGCTCATTTTGCAAACTTGAAGTTTTACATATCAAGTAAAATGGAAATATTATTTTGCAGTTACGGGGACAATGATACCCCCCCAAAAAACATCACAATCACTATTATTTCTACATATACGAAATTCCAACTTTATCCTTCATCTTGTTTGCTGATTTATAAACCATGCCACTTAAAAATGATAGGTTTATCAAACAGGAGGAAAACATTTACATACAGTAATCATAGTTCATGTATGGATTATTTTTTATCTACAGTTATGCACCTCAAGGTTATCAAAATGCTATCTCTCAACCAACATCAGAATCATTTGCCACATATGATTAAATTGGTGGTCAAGTTATCAATGATACTCATTCATATACTTCCAGGTAACATTTTAATTACTGTCACTCACAAGAGATAAGGGGAATTCATGCCCGAGAATCAAAAGTGAACAGAGCTTTTCACCACGGCCATGAGAAGAACAGTGATGCTACTATGTCATATGTCACACACATTTGCCCAAGTATTACAGTATTGCTTGTCGTTGAAAGGAAATGCACTAAATACCAATGACCAAGTTTTAGGCTTAATTTTTCTTCCTTTGAAACCATATCCTGTCCACTCTCTACATAATGATCTTTGAATTAATGTGCATGAAACTTCCTTGTGTACAACACTGCATTGATACCGTCAATACTACATGGCTTACCTTGTGTATATATTGTCATTGTTGACATACTGTTCTAGGCGCTGTAAGGGAGTTAACAGATCTTCCTGACCCTGTTCATAATCTCCACCAAATAAGATGTCATCACCTGTGCACATACGTTAAAAACATTTATTTAAAAATTATTAATAAACTGAAATAGTATCAAATCAAGTGATTAAAAAAATGGTAGCCAGATATGTTTGATTGATTACAAACTTAAAATTGTCTTTGAGAGAGGATTCTGATTAATTCTTTGAGGAAACTTAAAGTGATAATAACTCTTCGTTTCGGCCAAAAAATGAATTTTCCTGGAGTAAACAACAATTTTCCCATACTTACCAATGGTTTATGAGTCCATTTTTACATTCAAAGTTAGTCCCTGTTTTTTTTCTAAAAAGTTTGGTTTTTTGTTAAAATCTCTTAAGAGATTTTAACAGAGTATAGCCATCAATGGAGGTCACGTGGTCTAAAGACAAGCTCTGACATCAGAATAATAGCTATAACTGCCGGTTTTTGTGGTAAAACAGAATATATTATATTTCTATGAGTTATTCACAATGTTTTTATTGTGAAATATAGATCTCATTCGAAGAGTTATTATCCCTTTAACTTCAATTTGTACACAGACACTGATTTCAAATGAAGAAACAGAAAAATAAAGAGGGGCACTTAAATAGGCAGTAACAAAAAAATAATAAAGTCTTCAATTTAATATAAATTCATTACAATTTTACTTCAATGCCAGATGAAATTTGCTCTATCCCAAAACAATGAGTTAAGAAATTGAAATGTGCACTGGAGTATGTTTTGAATTTGTTGGCTAATCCNCGCTGTAAGGGAGTTAACAGATCTTCCTGACCCTGTTCATAATCTCCACCAAATAAGATGTCATCACCTGTGCACATACGTTAAAAACATTTATTTAAAAATTATTAATAAACTGAAATAGTATCAAATCAAGTGATTAAAAAAATGGTAGCCAGATATGTTTGATTGATTACAAACTTAAAATTGTCTTTGAGAGAGGATTCTGATTAATTCTTTGAGGAAACTTAAAGTGATAATAACTCTTCGTTTCGGCCAAAAAATGAATTTTCCTGGAGTAAACAACAATTTTCCCATACTTACCAATGGTTTATGAGTCCATTTTTACATTCAAAGTTAGTCCCTGTTTTTTTTCTAAAAAGTTTGGTTTTTTGTTAAAATCTCTTAAGAGATTTTAACAGAGTATAGCCATCAATGGAGGTCACGTGGTCTAAAGACAAGCTCTGACATCAGAATAATAGCTATAACTGCCGGTTTTTGTGGTAAAACAGAATATATTATATTTCTATGAGTTATTCACAATGTTTTTATTGTGAAATATAGATCTCATTCGAAGAGTTATTATCCCTTTAACTTCAATTTGTACACAGACACTGATTTCAAATGAAGAAACAGAAAAATAAAGAGGGGCACTTAAATAGGCAGTAACAAAAAAATAATAAAGTCTTCAATTTAATATAAATTCATTACAATTTTACTTCAATGCCAGATGAAATTTGCTCTATCCCAAAACAATGAGTTAAGAAATTGAAATGTGCACTGGAGTATGTTTTGAATTTGTTGGCTAATCCCGTTTCAAACAGTACATAACATAAACTAAGAAGGATTATCTGAATTTATATTCTTGGATACTAATCCTTGGAATTTAAGAGGAAATTGCTTTAATTTACGAGAAAAATATTGTTTTTGAAATTTTCTGACTGTCCCAATTTTTTAAAATTTATTAACATAATTGGTATAAATATATATGGGTCAAACACGGTATTTGAAATGTCTCTGACGGAACATTTTAGAGACAATTTTAAAAATTACAGTTGGTAAACGATCCACATGGTTACTTTTAAATACATTTTTATTTAGCTGGACCATAAAGGATTATGTAAAACAAGCAGCTAATTTGTATTGATATATATATATAATGCACCAAAGATTATACAGTATACCAGTAACTGCAATAAAATGTATATATGCATGTGATTTGAAAGGAGGGAGGAGAAATAAAAACAAAGAAAACACCTTAGTTTAACATTAAAGCAAGCATTAACAAACATGCATTTAGTAAGGGCTAGTGGCTTAAGGCTTAATATCCCTACTATAACAACAACTTCTATACATCATACCATTTTAGCTTCCCTTTCAAGAGTTAAAAACCATAACAGCAAAATTGCAATAAACTTGAGATGAAAATGCAAGGAATGCATGTAATTTAATGTAAATAGTTATTTCAGACAGCCAGAGCACAAGGCTCCAAAGAGCAAAACCAAATACTTTTGGGGTAATGGTGAGTGATACTTGAAAGTTGGTGAAAACCTTAACTCTTTTGGCGATGGTAGAATTGTCCCTCCTTAGTTATATATACAGTACAAAGGGACATAAAATAAGGGAAAGAGAAAAATCACAAAGGGCACCTCTCAGTGAATATATTGTCTTTGGTTGAATGAAATTTGTAAATTGCGTTTTCTTGGGGCACTTGCTGTAGGGACTAAGGCAAATTATTCAGACACTTACCGTCACCAAGGGGATCCTCTGCATCATCTTGATAAAATTCTATGTCTGAAATGTAATTAAACTTAGACTTAACCTGGATGCAAACAAAGAAATCATTGAGAAAATTACAATAAAATTTGAGGAGTACTCACCCGCCATATTGAAATCCCCTACTGCACAGCGTCGGAAGTTGTGATTGGTTGACCGCGATGTAAGCGGCACGCTGATTGCACAATTGGTTCATAAACGAAAATGTCATCCCGAGCATAGGTCATCTTCTCTGTCGCATTCGCAATCACACTGCTACTGTATGCATATCTCTGGTGAAAAACAAAGTAGAACTGTAAGTTGACAGATGTCCCATAGTCAGAGACACAGAAAGAGAAAGAGAGTAACAGGGAGTTTCCACAAACAGACCATTTTTTAAGGAAATTTCATTGTCAAAATCTTCAAGTGTCATGTGTTGGTTACAATATTTTGCTTTAGGCAAGTTAATTTCTTTGTAATTTATTGTTCACCTTTATACACCTTGATAAGATAAATAGTACCAGGTTGTACATAGATCAGTTCAGTGCTTGACTCTGTAACTTAGACGAAACATCTTGCATTTAACTTTTCAGACAAAAATCGATGAAAAATTTCATTCATTCTAGGCCACTAAGGATACATGATAACACATGGAGTGCATTTACCTGCTTTAGTGAACTTCCACCTGTATATTGCGCCTTGTCAGCCTTAAAATTTATAGCCTCAGATACGACCAGAAAGTAAACTATTAGTGTTAAAGGTGAAAATATGAATAGATTCAGTCTCATTCAGATTCAGATTCTTTATTGATAAACACCTTCACATACAGAACAAGGTACAACCAAGAACAGCACAGCTACTATTAGTACTATAGTAACTATAACATAGCACAAACAAATAGATACAAATATCATATTGTTGATATATGGCTATTTAAACCACTTATCATAATTTTTTATGGCACTTAAATTAAAGACTGTTTTAACACTTAAAAAAGAATTTCTATTGAAAGTTCTTCATTCAATTTCGTTACAATTTTGTTAATTGGACAGACTTTTAGAACCAAATCTTTCATTTCATTTTTTTTTCCTAAAATCTACTGGTCCATATCTGGATTCGGTAGTCCACATTTAAATTTCATTCATTTTTTATTGATTTGTTAAAGGATAGGACCCAACCATACACTGAACAGCAACTGATATGAAATGATAATACTGTACATGTACCATCAAAACCTGCTGCCGTATGTACACATACTGCAACAAATGGTTATCCACTACACTGAGCAAATGAACTCTCAAACTGGCACTGCTGTGGATATACGAGTTCCAGTGTTGAAATCAAAGAGGCCAAAAGATGAGCAGTTTCTGGTGGAAGAATTAAGCCATGTACTTTAAAACTGAAAATCGAGGATACACAGGGAATGGGTGAACTTGTTCCTAAGGTGATTATTTTACCAACTGTTTGTGGTGATAAGTACGGGAGTATTTGGTCATCTTATTGGAGTAACCAAATTCAGGAGAGGGAGCAGTCCTCAAAAATGTATGGGATCTCCCTCTCCCCCCCCCTCCCCCAACCGCCCATTGAATTTAACTGGTTTTCCCCCCACCACCTCTCACCATTAAATCTAACATACTGGGATACCTTAATTGTATCAACAGAAGCTATTTTATAACCCAAGCAGATCAGATCCCCTTCTATCTTGTAATTTATCAGTAGTTTATCAATGTTATGCCAGTAATACTACTGGCAGGATGACTTTGATGATAGCCAAGTGACTCTAAGTTTTGAAGTTACAACCAGCTTGTTTCCTTTCTTTTTCTTAGTTTCATTAAAAAAAATAAAAATTGCTGCAATATCAGAATTTTGAATCAAACAAGGTGTATATAATTTCCACTAGTAAATGTCTTTTGTCTCCATATATCTCCATCTGCATAGGTGATCATGACGTAAAAATAATTGTGTGATAAATTATGTATTATGAATTGAATTTAATGACAATTTAAATTTTTTCCAGCAAAGGAAACTACCAGCCACAGAGTGCAAACCCTTGGGTGTTAAAACCAATGTATTGCTGCCAAAAAGGATATATACCTGTATATACTGTAGCTACTGTAGTTCTCTACAGGCCTGGGGTGGATTGAGGCTGTCTTTTGGGTTTTACGGAAGACGGTCAGATTTTCAAGTTAACATTCTAATTTTTTCTGTTGAAAGACCATCTAGAATGGAGGATGGATCAACAAAAATAATTGGAAAGACAGTCAGAAAATATCTCTGGATCTGCCCCTAACTGCTCTAGAAGAAAGCACAATCGTGGAGGGCACTATACCCAAGGTTGTACATGGTGTATTTAACAGCTGATCAACCATTCTGTGCAGCAAAGGCATTCTCGATAGACTTGGCAAACAATAATAATATACCAATACACACAAACGCACTCCCCGACTCCTCCCTGGGAGCTGCCTTATGTAACAGCTGACTGCTTTATTATGGCAGAAGCTGTGTCGATCTATGACATCAATTTGGCCAGTAGCAGAGCACACACTTATTTCTATAACATCTTCGCTCTGTCCTGCTATTTACTTTATTTGTTTTTATTTCTGGAGATCAAGAGGTCTAGCTGTCTGTTTGTGGCAGTCATTCTGACATGTGGCAGGTGGGCACGGATGCTCACTTTGTATGTTCAAGTGTAGATTAAGTAACCATAGTCTACCAGCAAATCAATTTACCTGTGTTTTAATAGGCTACTGGCACATAGAGCGTCTACTGATCACTGAAATCAAGACGGTTTTGGTCTGCTGATAAACTACCTTTCGTGCTTACAATTATGGAACATCACTGTTAAGCTTATTATTATTATTATTATTATTATTATTATTATTATTACCAAACTTGCAACCCAAGGGTTGGATAATTACAATCATTGCATCATAGTTGAATAAAACCACTACTGAATAAGAATAAAGGAATATTAAAAGACATATGCAAATAAATTTAAAACAAAATAACTAAAATACTTGTATATCGCACTGGTTAAAAAGTCTCTCATAGGTCATTTGGTTTTAATTTTAGGTCTTTTTGAATGTCTCCTGTTCCCGTAATCAATATTAGACATTTTGTTTTGGTTGTAAAAGATAATGTAATCTATGATCCAGTTCATTTGATATACTAATACACAATTTTTGTGCATGCATTGAGCCGTCTTGCACTCAGTAGTTCAAGTGTACCTTTTTCACAGGCAGCATCATATTCAATTTTTACGCGGATATGTGTATATTTACATGATGAATAACACCATTGTTAATTGGCATGGTGTGGTATCCATTGTAGTATTACTATAAACTATTTTTGTCAAGTATAACGCTTGTTGTTGAACAGTGGAGTTGTCAACTTTGCAAAATATATTATTATTTATTGTATCTATTTATTCATTTATTTGACTGGATTTCATGGATGCGTACCCTACAGATGTATATGAAGGAATTGGGTCATTGAATGCCATTGTGTTTAGTTTTCATGCCTGAAAAATTGCAAATCGTTCTAAAAAGAAAAAAATCGCAAAGATACTCGTGTTTATATTGTCCCTAAGTGCCATGTGGAGGTTGAGTACATATTCTTCCCACTGTCAGGCTAATAAAAAGTCCATTGACGCTCAGGGTGAAGGTACACGGAGTGTAGTCACATTGGCCTTGTATGCTATTGTATTTTAGAAGAGAAGAAGCATGTGCAGTTACAATTTACAGATATATTTTTTTAAATGGGTCAGTCATTGCACAGGCATCGCCGTAGGAAGGCTCATAAAGAGCGAGTGGTATGTTTATGTACATGTGCGCTGTGTTAGAATTTCAAAGGTTTTTTTTTCTCTCTCTTATCTCTTGGACCCGTCTGTGCGTGGTTACTCTACACGTCATATGTCTGACGGCGGTTTCCCTGTTATCTTCAGAAAATAATTTGTTGTCCAATAAAAAAGTAAGATTAGGGAACGTTGGACGTTGCAACCGGATTTGTTGAATGTAAACACATTCATTGGTATAATAAAAAAATGCAGAACCTTTACATATGTTGTGCATATAATTTATGTCGTTGTTTTTGTCTTAAGACCAAATCTTCGTCTAAGAAAATTTAAATTATGAGTCTCTGTGTTGCCTACTGGTCCGTTTCAATGAAGATGCTGTGATCCTTTAATGCAAATGACGTCAAAAATTACACACAGTGTTTGCTTGTTGGGGAGTGGCAAATCACACGTGAGTGTTCTTATTTTTACTACTTTTTAAGGTTATTTTGTGGTAGTTCCTTAGAAGAACGTGTTAGTAGACGGTAATCTTTTCTGCCAAGCAGAACTGACAGCAATATTTAAACATAGAGAGAGAAAGAGAGAGAGGAGATGGTTCGCAAGATACACGTTGGCTGATTGACTAATGAAGAACACCACTGACAGGTATAGTTGTCTATGTGTATTCCTAGGTTTTAGAGGAATCGATGAAGATGAGTCAAATTTTCAACTGAAGTAGTCCTTCATCTTCCTACACCATAAAACAAATACAGGTATGGTTTAAACGCATTGGTTGAATAACAATTAATGTCCGTTTTTCTCCTCTCCTCGGAAGGCTGGACTGAAATGCTGTATTGATTCAAAATTTCTCTTCAGAGTGTAAGTGATAAGACACATATAGACAGGTAAATTTAAGTTGCAGGTTCCGTTTTCAAAGCTATTATTTATGCTTGATAAAATGTATTGCCATATATACCGTCTTCTGTTGACGCCAAACACTGGATATATAAATTGACGTTATAACATTGTTTCAACAAAGGCACGCCATTAGTCAAAAATCTACGCCCAAGAGCCTTAGAAAATTGCCCATTTAAATTGCTTCCAGAGAGCCCAACGGAATTTTCAAGTGGACAAAGTGGGGAAAATAGAGAACACAGAAATCTCATCGCCGCGGACTGACAATAAACAACATCGGCAGGTAAAGTGGCTCACTTGTGGCACACTTCAACTGATTTTACCAAGACTAGTATGCACTTTCGAGGGTCTTTTGATAGATAAAGCCGTTACTGTCTCTGTATAAAGTAGGAGATACGAGATGAATCATATTCCCTTGCTGATAGGAAAGACAGCGTTTCTGTAATTATGTCTGTAAGACGGTTCCAATTAGTTAAAGGGATACAAAACACAGA